TACGGTGGCCGATATGGAGTGAAATCACTGAAGCAGGAAAACAAGGGAAGGATCCTACGGAACAAGAGGCGACTCTGATATGGCCCGAAGAGAGAGGATTGTGAATTAAATTGCATCCTTGGATTAACACTCCCGACACAGTGGGAGAGGTGAGGAAACCAGAGTGGAGTGTAAAGAGATTTCAAATAGGTGTAGATAAACAAGTAAGACATTGTGATATTAAAAGGGTAGTACGAGTATATGGGATAGCTGAAAAGGCCAGGACAAGAGCAATACCCCAACGGTTTAGCAGACAATTTGTCAAAAGATCAGCTTCACTTGTCTCTTTGTTGAGTTGGGGTGTGGTTCTAAGAGTGGCAAGAGTCACTGAAGATGCCGACTAGGATGCCGGCGAAACGCCTGGGAATGTACCAAGTCCACGGTTCGACTCTGAAAAGTATGTATAATATGGACTCCGGACAAGGTGAGTTCCTATAGGTTTCCTGTCAATATGATCAAGTTGCGAAAACAAGGTCAAATAACTTATATACAATGAGGGGAGACTGCAACCATACAAAGGGCCACACCATTCTGGTCTTCATATTTTCGAAGAATTACTTATGCTTGATTGATGGATTTAAAAAGAGAGGGTGTTGAGCCACTGTCTAAAAGAAGACAACCCATTTTGTCAGCTGAGTGCTGCTTCTAACCAAGTTAACACTAGTTCAACGTACATGTCAAACTCATCAGCCAAAACAGACGTGCGAGGCTACACAATCCCAGGCAAGCTTCTGCTTGGTCATTTAAGCTTAATAACCCAGACTAAAGAGCTAGGACTGGTTGTTTCGTAACCTGACTTTCACGCATACAGACTTATATATCACAAATATAACCAGGGTTACTTACGGACTAACGCAATCTCGATCATCTTTCTTTCTTTTCTTTTTAACCTGGTTCACTAAGCCGTAGTGATCGTGCGCTAGTTTATTTGTGTAAAGAAATATTTGCCCCCGAACGCACTTCCGGTTCGTTAGGTAACTTCATTAATCTGCAACCATGTAGAGTAAATTTGAGGTAGCCAACCAAATAATGGAATGCCTAACTAATATCTCAAGGTTAGGTGTATAAAAAAGGCTTACTTATTTAATTATGTAAAAATTCAACTATCGGTCCTTCATCAACTTAAACGAAATAGGGTGAATACATATCGTATAAAAAAGCGACTAGAGTTGCAACCTGTCACCTTCTATTGGTTTAGTATATTTTTGCTCTATTTCATAAAGTATGGATTTTTGCTCCGATGATCTCTGTCATAGTACAGACGAAAGCTTTGCACAGATTCATCGGGGTTGCAGGACGGTGAGCCGATTACTTCTTTGCACAATTCAAAAGTCGATCCTTTGTCGATTTCCGGTGAGACCACATCACGAATTTCTTCCAACTTACTTTTCCTTCTAAATGTAAAGTCAATTTACAATATATCACTAAGGAATTCTTCGAAATCCATTTGAAAAAGTAGTAACTGTTCATGAATAAGATTGGTTCAAGGATTCGTCAACTAGTTTGAATTTAATCTAACAACAAGCCTAAGTATTCCATCCATAGGTCTTAGAAAGCACCCCCATAAATCATTCATCCGTAAAATATACAGAGATTACAGTTGAATCGAGGCTAGCGGAAGTTACAAAATGAATGAATCCCGCCACATACCCGGAGATCTTGCGACGGCGGGCAAGCCGTTGGCTTGATCTTCCCTTCGCACGAGACACTCTTGAAGTAATCACTTTTAAATGGGTCTGCTTAGCCGGGGTTGTTGACTGCGGCACATCAATAATATTCTCCTTTTTATCCCACTGTACATTCACAGCTAGATCGCCACTATCATCCGGTTCGGCTCTATATAGTTCATTATCCATGTCTCCGACCAAAGACAAACCACAATTATTGTCTTCATCGTTTTCATCGTTATGAGCACTGACTGCAGAAACTTCCTTTATATCCACCTGCTCGGGGTCCTGAATCGAACTGGTGGGCCGATCTTCGTCGTCTCGAACTCTAGAATCCTGATTAGACTCGCTGGTGTCAAACACGGTGGCAGATGGTCTAGCAACGCAGCGCCCACCGGAGGAAGATTTCAAGGCCGTACCAGAGGGCGAATTTTCGGAAGCAGATGTGCCTGCGGTAACGAGAGGAACACGAATCTTTGGCAAAGCAACAGTCGTAGCCTGGTTTGAAGGAGATGGAAACAGTTGGGATATTAATGATTGTAGCAGAAAAAGGAATATATAATAAATTGTTGGTTGCTATAGCAACTGAGCGACTAAGCAAAGGATATTAAGCATCCCTTATAACTAATAATACTTATAACAAGACATAGAGGACAATAAAAGCTTTAAGAAATTAAAGACCAAATCTCCAATGAATTAAAGTACTTTTACTAAGCTTTGGGTCAGTAGCATGACTTCGGATCCAGGCCTAGAATGCTTCAAGGCTAAGCACACAAAAATGTAAGAGATGCATTTCTTCAAGGTCTCATAAGGCGGTGAATGACTGATAGTTAAATTCCCTTACCTCCGTAATGGTATGAATACATCTTACTATGTCGACGAATGCTAGTTAGCTATGCCTACCAAAATGTATTCTAAGTGAAATTCAATGGCATCGTAAGACTTACCCATATCATTGTGGGAAAATTCAACTATCAGTCCTATAACATCTTTAAAACCAGCTATTAGTAAAGGCAGTAAGGCTTCGAAACCTACGCAATACGATCGCATTTTTGTCAATGCCATATCGAACACATTTCTCTATATCAGAATAAGTATTTAGGAGTGGAGATAGTTCTTCAAAAAGTAGTACCTGGACAATAAAAAATATCAAAATTCATATTCTATTCTATACAAGCTTTTAAATTTTAATGTGGTAAACAGAATTTAGAGAAAAAGGATAAAATATTATAGTAATACACGTTTACAATTATCATTACAATTAACGTTAATTCCTCATTCAAAAAACTTATATTGAATAAATTCGCTCCTATTATAATTAAAGAAGTGTAGGCTACGGGTCAAAATCTTGAATTCACCAACGATGCATTATTGCCTCAATGGGAAAATTTCTCGTCGCTCAGGTTTTGCGTACTTAACAAACCTCTCGTTTTCTGAAACTCTATCAATCAAAGCTTTTCAAAAAAATTATTTTATTCATTTTCAGTGCGAAACAGCAATTCTTGAAAAGAGTTCCAGGCACCATAGTTAGAAAAAACTGATGAAAGAGCAATAGTTTAATTTCCCCCAAATAATATAGGTGGGCCTCATGTTACCGTTGAATTTCACTTAGCTTTGCTCCCCAAATTCTACTATCATCCAAGATGGATTGCAGTTTCAAGCCCGCCTAGATATTATCAGCAACTTCAACGGAAATTGAATCCATCTAATAGTGTATAATCTCGTCACGTTGCCAACATGTTACGCTACCACAAATACTCCTTGAATAACAAAGAAAAAATGAATTTTAAGGAAGATTATCCCTTTCTCATATTCCATTTTGTAGAGATACTATCAATGAGGCAAACGTGCATTTTGTCATTTAACTAAATTGAG